CCGATCTCAAGAACCCACCATCAAAATCCCAATTTTATATTAAAGAAATAGTCCCCACATGCCAAAAACACGCAGAGAGGTCAATCAAGATGTGAGCACGTGAGAGAACAGTAACATTTGCAATGAGTGGGTTGAATCTGGCTTCTTGTTATCTTCAATCTGCTTTATTCTCTTTATTTTTAGCGTCACAAAGATAACGATCTTTCAACGGATGCCATGATTTTGGGGCTGTATCCCTTTTTCACTTTCTGCTCGGAATTGGGAAAGAGAGGAGAGCGGCTTTTTCTCTCTAAACTCTCTCCGTTTTCTTTTCTTTTTTGTTTTCGTTGTAGTTGGGATTATCGATTTCCACAATGGCAGCTTTAGTGGACCGCGAGCAGAAGGAGAGGGGTAAGTGGAGGAGCTGTACAGCGGTGTTGGGTTTTTTTTGGGAGAACTGCACGGGACTAGCAGTCCCGTGCAGTTTGAGAATTGCAAAACCAACTCTTTCTTCTGAAAAGGGTCGGTTTTGCTCATTAATTTTTTACAGGGTCGATTTTGCTTAATAAATTTAAAAAATGGTTGTTTTTAAAAATTTGTCCATATATATATATATATATATATATTTGTCCACTACAGTGATTTTTTGCCTTTTTTCTAGCTTGTTAAGTAAATATTATGTGGATACCTTTTGTTAATTATAGTGATTTTCCTCCTCTTGTTTGGTTTATTTTATCTCATAATATAGTTGATCAATAGCTTCACGTTAGTAGCTATTGTAAGGTCATCTGTATCTAACTATATAATAAGTTTATGACTCCTTTAGTATTTGAAGAATAAAATATAAAATTTTATAAGGCTTACTAATATTTCTTGTATCTTCTATGAAAAATGCTTCTTTGATTGGAAAAAATTATTTAATATGTTCTCCAATGGGAAATCAGTTAGCGCTTCTTTGATAGATATGTCTCTTTTTAATATCAATTCAAATGATTCATGTAAGTTTATGAATTTTGGGTTAATTTTATTTTCCATTATAAATGAAAACAACTAGATCCTTTAAGAGATATATATGAACTTTTTAATAGTTTCACCATACATAACTCATTGTATTTTTTACCATGTGAATATCATTAACATCAGAGATTTTTTTTACCCTATGCCATCAGGGCTACATCCATATAACACAATAAACAACAAATATTATTTTTTTTAAGTTAATACACATGGCTCATTCATAACAAGTTATCAAGACAAAAGCATCTTCATCAATGCTCTTTATAAATATAACAAAAATTTAACTTAGCGATATTATGCAGGCATCACAACATTCAAAAGTGGTATGATCTTAAAAAACCTACTCTATAATTCACACAATTAAACCTAATAAAAATTTACCAATATACAGATATGTTAATGTACTTTTAAGGCAAAGATAACTACTAGTTATAGTAGACTTGAGCTGTAGCTTTATGCTTGCAAATGCCGTAACAAGAAGGTGGATATAGATGTTAATAACGAATGTCCAAATGATAAATTTTGCAGAATCTATGATGACTTAGGATATTACAAAGGTAATACTGTTTGACACAGTAAAAACTCTTATTAGGTGCACAATACAAGAATTCATTGCAAAGAAAAAAAATATGTCAATCCAAACGTAACTTAATTAATGAATTAGAAACACAGGAAAATTGTCATATATATGAAATTGATATTTTTTTTCTCATTAACATTTTTTCTCGTTCAAATTACTTGTAAAGTTAGATGAGAAGATAAAAGATGAATGAGCCCAGGGAAAGATAATATCACAAGAAATGCAGGTCCAGCCTGATGTCACAATAGACGTAGATGATGAATACACCACTCCAGAATTACCCTAGAAAAGATAAAGTGAAGAAGGCTTGATATCGACTCAATAAAAAATAAAAGAGAAAGAATAAAAGATAATATTTTCTTAAAATTTTATAGAATAGCCTAATTTTTTGAGTAAAATTAGAAATGTTTGGAAGACGTTTTCACGAATTTTAAAATATTTTTATATACTTATTTTGTGGATGCTTTTATAATATAAAATCATACTATAGTTAGCATTAATATATAGTTTATGGTTTTTAATGAAGTCTATTAGTGATTTGGAATAAAATTCATATTCTCTTTTGTGTTATTTTAGCCACATCTAATCATTTGTCTAGGCTTATTGGGTTTAATTATTCCTCTTACTATTATAATGCTATTTTTAAAGTGTTTTTTAGTTTTACAATACTGTACTTCCTTAGATAAAACTTTCTTTCATGCCGATCCAAATAACATGGAATATTCAAATTGGCTTCACTATGGTTTCATGTCAATTCAATTATCAACATGAAACTTAAAATTGGTTGTAGCACATTCAAACAAATATTAAAGAAATATAAATAATCACAATATTAAATTTTAGAGACATAAGTGAGCAAAAACTATCAAATTGAGATTGAATAATAAATATTAATAAGGAATCAAACTAAAAATAAATAATTACGATATTTAATCACGTGCAATGCGCACGTGCATATAAAAACTAGTAGTTTGAAAGATACGAGCCAGTCCTAATTGATGAGTTTGCAAAAGTAAATCGACTAAAGACATTCTTCTACTAAAGAAGCTAACTAGTATCAACCTTCTCAAATAAGGCTGTCAATCACAACTAAAACGACGTATATGACTAAAATATAATGAATGAAGATGAAATTAATGAAGTTCGCTTTTTTTAAAGCATCCAATTAGGATGAATTTTAGCTCGATCTGAGAGGGGATCTGCAAAATGGTTCATTAGTGTGATACGATTTGATTCGCACCCTTTTGGAAGTTTAGATATAAAAATAGAGTATCGTATTCTTTTATTTATTGATTATAGTGTGGCTTGTGCGTGAACAAAGGTTAGTAAAGGGCCTTTAACAGGCTAAGCCCAGTCCAGTTGTAAGTCGATATGGGCGAAGATCGCGAAAAAATGATAGCCCAGAACTGAAGGAGGCGATGAATAGGGAATTTCCACCGGCTCCAAATTTGTGGGTAGCTTTCTCCAATAAAAAGCGTTAATTATAGTTTCTTGTACCCCTAATGCACATGATAAATTGTAAAAATGTGCCCTGAAAAAATTAGGACCAGGAATCTCTCATGGTTAACTTTCTAAGGAGTCCAAACAAAAGGGGTAGCCTGTCCAAAACAAGTTCAAATGCGTGTAACCCAATGAGCTTATTTTCTTTGCATTTACAGTCCAAATTTTGTAGAGAGCTATCTAGGATTCTTCTCACAATAGAGCATTTTATGGTTGATATCTCCGAATGATCTCCAGCCAGTCAATACATTTCAACTCTGCAAACGCTTTCTAGATGCCCTCGATATTGGGGATAAACTCCCTATCCGCGGAGATCGAGCCTGCAAGACCGCGAGTTCCCCCATTCTGAGATCCGCCGCGGAAACAATATTGATATCAACTTGGTGTAAAACTCAATTTAGTGAGGGAAAAAGATAACAAAATAGATGCAAATCGACACAAGAGATTTGTGTGATTCGGCAGAACCGTCTACATCCAAGGGTGAGAGCTATCCATTTTTTACTTTTTTGAGAGAATACAAAAGAATTACAATTAAATCGCTCATCGACTCAAATCCGTAACCACTATATACCCACTCTCAATGTACCCAAAGAACACTCTCACAAGCACTCAACCATACTCCTTTTTACCCCCTCATTGTATGTCCCCCAAAACTCATAACCCTCTTTAGAGCATCTCCAACAGCTTCTCCAAAATTTTCTCCAAAATGGGGAAGCAAAAGTCATATTCTCCAACTAATTTTTACATCAACTCCAACAACTTCCCCATTTTGAAGAATCCCTTTTTTCCTCCAAAAATTTGGAGAATGCTGCAGATTTGGGGAAGCTTCCCCATTTTTTCTCCTCCATCCCTATTTTGGAGAATGAGATGGGAAATCTGTTGGGCCAAAAACCTAACTAAATTCTCCAAAAATAAAAAATGGGGAAGCTGTTGGAGATGCTCTTAAATAGCTCACAAGTCTTTCCCTCCAAACTTTAGCTAGTTTGTTCTCCAAACTTCTGAAAACATGGCCACCAAACTTCTCAAAACTTTCTCACCAAGCCTCTCAAGAAAGATGGACCACCAACACACAAGACTTCCAACTCAAAACTTTCTCACCAAGCCTCTCAAGAGAGATGGTCCACCAACACACAAGACTTTCAAAATGTTGTCCTACAACATAGATAATATTTACTCATATTTACTTTTGCCCACATAGTTTATTTATATTTACAATTAATCTCTACTTCAAAATATCGAGTCTAAGTTCTTTCAGGACCATCTGTGTGCGAGCGGACCAGTCTAATCCTTGAATGTAACAAATATGCGATAATTTGATAATTTCTCGTTTACCGTGTAAGAATCAGATTAGCCCGCTCGCATAGCTCTGAGAAAATTCCTATTCAAAATTTTGTGTGATCAGTTGTTTATTTCAGTACAATTGGAGTAGCATGACATTTTTGAGTTGCAATTAAGGTCGCATTCAGTCAGAATACGGCTCAATTATGATACTTACTATATCCATATCCACTTATTCAGCACGTATACAGATAAAGATACAGATATACATAAATAAGAAAAATTCATATCTATTATCCGCTAAAATTAGATACGGATTTGGATATATAAGCAGATATGCATGCGGATACAAAATGGATATGGAAAAACTAAATAATATTGAAAAAAATATAGTTAATGTGATACAAAGAAGTTGATTACTACGTCCTAAGATTAAACATCTTGATCATCAAAGTATGATCAATATGTATTCAGATAGTTCGATACTGATCCTGATATTTCACTACAAAATTATATTCGTAATCATATGCTATCGGTTATAGATTTGAGGAGCTACATATGTATCCTATTGGATACAGCTACAAATGTTTCTAGGATATGGATTCGATTTAACACCGTAGTTGCGATTGCCTGTTTCAATGCAAAGTTACATAAATAAATCTTCAATTTCCCTAAGGATTCATGCAGATTTGAACATTAAGTGGAAGTAATCCCCCTAAATTTAGACGTTATTCAACAAATTTACAACAAAATTGCTTCAGCAAATTAACTGAAGAAATCCACCGGAGACTCCACTAACCCCCCAACGAAAATTAAAAATAAAAATAAATAAATCATAAAAAAAAGCCCCACTTGATCAGATCCATTATTCTTCGGATCCATCTATGTACAACCCAAAAATAAAAAATAAAAAAAATAAAAAACCCACGTATTCCTCCTCAAAATCTCAACCCTCCCCAGCTCCGCCGGCCGCTGGCCAAAACCTCCCCAAAAGCCCTCTCCGACTCCCTCCGATCCCTTCCGCCCACAAACGGATGCCTCAACAACTCCAACCCGTCCACCTCTTTCCCGCCTCTTTCATCAAGCAACACCCCCACAACCCCCTCAGCTCCTCCGACGCCGCCTCCGGCACGCCGGCCGCCTCCCCGAAGCAAATCGCGCACATCAGCGTCGCCCAGTCCGGCCTCTGACCCATCGGCAACAGCGGAAAGTGCCCCAGGTGGAGCTCCAAGATCGTCAACCCCAAGCTCCACACGTCAGACGCGTACGCGTCGTAGTTCCCCCCGTGCCGGTCCGGATCGAACCTCTCCGGGCTCATGTACGCGCACGTGCCCACGTAGGACACGCACGGGTCCAGGGTCCGCCGCATTATTTTCCCCACTCCGAAGTCGGCGATCTTGATCTCTCCGCTGGAGCTCAGCAGGAGGTTCGAGGGCTTGATGTCGCGGTGGACGATCTTCTGAGCGTGGAGGTAGGCGAGGCCGTTGAGGACCTGGGCGGCGATCTCGGCGAGGGCGGGTTCGGGGAACCGGGTGCTGAGGTTTAGGGACCCGAGATCCATGTGCTCGAGGAGGAGCGCGGGGTCGCCGGAGGAGGTGGAGAGGACGGCGATGCAGCTTGCCTGAGCGCGGAGAGTCGGCGCCCTTGTGGATCTCGATCTCGCGGCGAGAGGCCGCGGAGTCGGAGTGGAGGACTTTCAGGGCTGTAGATGCGCTGCTCCGGCGTGGCGGACTTTGTAGACGGTGCCTCCGTTGCGCGTGTCCGAGCACGGCGAGCTTCTCTCGAAGTCGGAGAGTCTGTACTCGCGGGCGGCGGCGGCGGCGGCGGATGACGAGGAAGAAGGGTGGAGTGGAGGTAGATGGAGGCGGAGGCGGCGGTCGGTTGAGGGTTCCGGCGGGGGAGCTCGAGAGTGAGGTTTTAGTCTTCGCTCTCTGACGACGGCCATTAAAGTTTTTATTCAGCAGTTGAAGGGTTTGCGATGAGGAGTCGGTCTTTTGAGGTTCGATTTAAGAGGAGGCGCTAGTGAGGGATGCGGTCACCGCTCGTGAGGGTAGGAGGTTAACGACAGAGGGAATGGATCGCTAGTCCAACTGCTGTTTAGTCGCGGTGAGAAGAGGAGGGAGGTGACTGAAGCAGGGCTGAGGTGGTTTATTTTGGGGCAGAGGAAGAGAGAAGGAAAGTGATGAGAGGTTGTAGAGCCCAGTGGGCCTCACGTGCCTTATTACAACACGAGGGCTATTGCGCTTGTGACTGAACGATTGGACTTCATATTGTGACATCTGATGAGAAATTATTAAGAGGTGATTAGATTAAGAGGTGATTAGATTCTTAGGGTTGGCAGTTACTTTGATGATTTAAGAGATGAGGTGTGCTGATAGATGCAAATAATTGTTCTTTTTTTTTTGGAGGTCCGGAGGATGATAGAGACCTTGGCTGGCTGTTGGAAGAAATGTCAAAATGTGTCCTTTTTTTTGAAGTAAAGGAAATTTCTTTATTTGTTTTGGGTCCATTTTTATGTTGTTGCTGATCATTAATGAGAATGTGATACATGATTTTTCTAAATGCACTTCCCTTGTTTGAATTTCTTTACTACATGTTCATAATTTTCTAATATAGTTACAATTAATATATAATCGATCATAACTAAAAACACAATAGGTAAGGTATTTGAGTTAAAATAACTAACAATTTCAGAGCTACTTTCAAAATACTATGGATTTATGATAAAAAACAATTAAAGTATAGAACATAAATTTCTAAAAACCCATTGAATATGTGAAAAATTTTGATTTCTAGTATTAGGGGAAAGAGTGAGGAAATGAAGTCGCGATATTTTTGGCGTCATTGATGCTTTGTATATTTGGCGATCATACGAATTACCTATCCGGAAAATTTTAATATATTCTCTAAAAGACAACTAAATAAAAATTTTAATGCAGAATAAGTTTTATAGAAATTCTGATTGCAAACATCATAGATCTAAATTATTACTTAAACAAGCATCATAGACCTAAATTATTACTTAGAAATGTTGAATTAACTAAATCATAACTTTTTCCGCATACAGTGGCCGCTCTTTCCTTTTCTAATCAAACATAGTCATCTCAGCTGGCCTTGGGCTATAACGTTATACGCTAACTTCCTCCTGTAATAATGCTGTGCGCACTTATCAAACTTCAAAATATTTAGTTTTCCAACAGTTTAATATCCCTTCTTTGCTCTAATTGGATAAAAAACTAATTAAGAAGAAAATTCTATGAAATTGTTGTAGGCGTCTAAAAAGTGCCTATGGGTGCCCGCACACAGCTCAAGACAAAGAGAAGGTGATGAACGCCGTTATCCGAATCAAAGAGGATTATCCAACGCCGACAAGCGCATGAAGCGAATCGGCAAACTGTTGATGACACGACAACGAACCACCGCAATGGAAAACACCAAGTGGACCGCATGCGTTAATCAACTCAAAGCGTACAAACGCACCCAACAGTCAGTTAACACGCACGCATCATTCAGCTCGTGCATGTCAATCAGTGCGCGCGTCAGTCAGTTCACGATGGCGTTAATCAACGTACATTAATCAACTCGCGTGGAGCATACAAGTCAACACGACGGATGAGTAAACAAAATGGGAGAAACTACAAGTCCCGGAAGATCGGAAAAGTCGTAAAAACACAAGAAATCAGCGAAACTCAGCGCGCTGCGCGAGACGGACCAAACCGACCCGCGCCCACGCGGGTCGGCCAAGTCCGACCCGCGGCGGCGCGGGTCGGACAAAGCCGACCCGCG